GTGAGTGATAAATGGTGTATGGTGAATGGTCAAGGGTATAGAGCACATTCTTCTCCCTCTGTGGTCAAGGTTTGGGTGTATCCTCCAAGCTCAAGTGCTTGTCCCTCCATGCTCAAGTGCTTGTCCCTCCATGTTCAAGTGCTTGTCCCTCCATGCTCAAGTGCTTGTCCCTCCATGCTCAAGTGCTTGTAGAGCCTCCTCTTGCCCCACAATGAAGCTAAGGATTTCCATCCCCAATTTCGGCAAGAAACACTCGCACATAAATCTGTTCTTTGTGTTTTTGAGCCCGTGGATGGACACATTAACTCTGGCACAACATGACACGCGCTGGGAGCGACTATATCCAACTCAGTGCTGCGGTACAGTGGTAACCACATAATGAGATAATTAGCTCATCCATACTGCTCCATCAGTGATCATGCCCAGTGGACTTCTTGCTAATTAGGATAATTGTGAAATAATTGTATTAAAAAAATGGACCGCCAACAAACACATAAATAATTTTTGTATTGTTTTTTTTCGTAACTTGTATTGAATGAGACTGAATAATATTTCTATTAGAGAGTCTCTCATTTCAGGTAATTATAGAGAATTCCAGCCATTACGGTGAGCATTTTTGAATAAACTAAAAATATTAGCAATAAATAAAAAATAATAGTTTTTTTTTAAACAGCTTACTGATGTTGGATTTTAGTTTTTAATTCTTTCGATGATGCCCTATTGTATTGTGCTCTAACCTATTAGTACTTACCTAGTAGCATCTACGAGGGGGAAGCGAGCTCTATAACTCTTTATACCGCGTTAACTGGCCTTGTTGTGGGTAGAGGTGGCTTCCACTACTTCTTCCTTCAGTGCCTTCCACTTGCTGACAACTTACACGGGGTACGAGTCTTGTCTGACATTCCTTCGGTTCATTTACATCTCCACTTTCCACCGGTGTCCTTTTCTCTCACTTTCTCTCAATCTGAAGAAGTTGTGCTTGTCCGCCTGATCTATTCCCCTGAGGATCTTAAGTGTTGTGATCATATTCCCTCTGTTTTTTTCAATCCACTAAAGTTGTGAAATTTAGTTCCATTGGTCTATCCTCTTATATTTAGCTGTTGTTGTTGTTAAAGATTCGCTACCTGGAACAAAGTTCCAAGTAGCACGGACTATGGTGAGCCCGTAGTGCCTTTTATGTGTAGCAATCTTAGCTCTGGTACTAATTTTCTTGCGAATCTGTTGTGAAATTTGGTTTTATGCTTCACAAGGTGTGGAATCCATGCCGGCGCTCATATTGGAGCTTTGGTCTAATAAATGTTGTGTAAAAGACCTTTACACAGCATTTCACCATTTATGTGGCTACATTATGTTTGTATGTTTCCGGTGTTAGTGTTGAAATTGTATCCGCATCAAAATATTTCAGTCTTTCCTGTTCGTATCGCTCCTGGTCTCCTTTCTCTCTGTCCCATCTTCATTACCTTACACTTGTTAGGGCTTGAATTCCACCAACCGTTTGTTGACCTATTCCTGGAGTTTGTGAAGGTCGTCATGCAGCAACTCCCTGAAGTGCTCTGCTTCTGCACGCCTCAGCAACTTTGAGTCATCTGCAGAAACTTTGATATGTACACTATATGTACCTTTACTCCCTCGGGGAAGGTCGTAGACATGAATCAGGAACAACAGCAGCGGTTAGGGCAGGGCAAGCCCTAGGGCAAGCCCCAGGGCAAGCCCCAGGGCAAGCCCGAAGGCAAGCCTTGTGGGAGTCCCCTTGATACATTCCTCCAGCTTGAAGCCTGCTCTCAGAGTGTGACTCCTTGCTCTCTCTCTTCTTCACGTACTCCCTTACCCAGCTCGATGTTTTCCCAGCATGCTTCTCCATCTTGTTCACCAGCCTCTCACCAGGAAAAGTGTCACATTCTTTCTGACACGCTACGAAAATGGTGTACCAGGCTAGCTTTTTCTGTGTGTGTGTGTGTGTGTGTGTGTGTGTGTGTGTGTGTGTGTGTGTGTGTGTGTGTGTGTGTGTGTGTGTGTGTGTGTGTGTGTGTGTGTACTCACCTATTTATACTCACCTATTTGTGCTTGCGGGGGGTTGAGCTTTGGCTCATTGGTCCCGCCTCTCAACTGTCAATCAACTGGTGTACAGATTCCTGAGCCTACTGGGCTCTATCATAACTACATTTGAAACTGTGTATGGAGTCAGCCTCCACCACATTACTGCTTAATACATTCCAACTGTTAACTACTCTGACACTGAAAAAGATCTTTCTACCGTCCCTGTGGCTCATTTGGGTACCCAGTTTCCACCTGTCTCCCCTTGTTCGCGTACCACCAGTGTTGAATAGTTTATCCTTGTCTACCCGGTCGATTCCCCTGTGGAGTTCTTGGGGTCATATCTGGAAGCTTAGGATACCAGATTGGGGAAATTGGCATCCCAGTTGGGAGCGTGAAGTCCCAACTGGGAGCGTGGCGTCCCGAGCTGAGAGTGGTTGGGGGTCCCAGGTGGACAAACCCTTTTCGCTGTGATCATCACTACAGATTAGCCTGAGCCTGACAATAGCTGGGGGGAGGAATTTTATCTATCAGTGAAGGAAAAGATGCGGTGAATTACCCTTTAGTGCTTCGAATTGGATTTTTTTCCCCTGTTGTACCTCTTCTCTCTCTCTCTCTCTCTCTCTCTCTCTCTCTCTCTCTCTCTCTCTCTCTCTCTCTCTCTCTCTCTCTCTCTCTCTCTCTCTCTCTCTCTCTCTCTCTCTCTCTCTCTCTTTCTGTTTTCTAAGGCTAGCACATAAGATTATAATTACCTTTTCTCTACGAACTTCACACATGAACTATTCAACCTAAATTCGCATTTCCTACATCAGTTGTTTTTGATGCCCGTCTCAAGTCGAATAGAGTCTAGATAATTCCAGACTCTGTGGCTCTATAAATGTTTCATAGCATTATATTGAGCTTACACTAAGGCTAAACACCTTATTACACCTTAACATCTAGAAGTTAATCTATAATAAATTGGTTACCATTGGTGTAGACTTTTATCTAAATGCTAAGCTACACTTATAGAGCCATAGAGTCTGGAATTATCCGTGTGATAGAGCGTTCTTGTGCTCTATTGCCTTGATTTCTCCTCTATCTAGGCCTATACATGTTGAGACAACCAAATGCTCGTCAAATGAGAAATGAGAGAGCTGGCAATGTTTTTGTTCTCTCTCTCTCTCTCTCTCTCTCTATGCCTCTCTACACTACCGTTAGGGGACAAAAGTTACAAAAATTGGCTTCACTTTGTAGTGATCATGTTCCCTCTGTTTCTTCTCCCCCCCCCTCCGGTTGTGATTCTGAGTTTCCTCAATTTGTCTTCGTCTTCATAATTCTGGGAGAATATGCTTATTCTAGCATAGGCCTAAAAATGTAGATTTTCCTTCATTACCTATTTGATTAAACTTTTGAGTTTATCAAGGTCTTTTTGGGCAATTTTCTGTAACTACTAAAAGTCATATACAAACATTGACATGAACCAAATACCTTCTTGAGGTTATCTTGAGATGATTTCGGGGCTTTAGTGTCCCCGCGGCCCGGTCCTCGACCAGGCCTCCACCTCCAGGAAGCAGCCCGTGACAGCTGACTAACACTCAGGTACCTATTTTACTGCTAGGTAACAGGGGCATAGGGTGAAAGAAACTCTGCCCATTGTTTCTCGCCGGCGCCCGGGATCGAACCCGGGACCACAGGATCACAAGTCCAGTGTGCTGTCCGCTCGGCCGACCGGCTCCCGAAGAGAGGCACTCACGACCTTGAAGAAGGCACTCACGACCTTGAAAGAAGGCACTCACGACCTTGAAGAAGGCACTCACGACCTTGAAGAAGGCACTTGGAAATGACCGAGCAACAGGAGGAGGTTGTTGTTGTTTAAGATTCGCTAACCAGGAACAAAAAGCTCCAAGTAGCACGGGCTATGGTGAGCCCGAAGTGGACTTGCAGGAGGAGGAGGAGGAGCGTGGCATTAGTTTCAAGCGCGTCTGTTCGAATTGGGGCGTGTAATGGCTGTATTGTCTCCCGTCTGCATAGTGAACAGTGCCAGGAGGAAGGAGCTCATTAGTGCCATGTGATCATGACTATACAGGCGTCTCGGGGTGGCCCCTTAGAGTAGGGGGGGGGGGGCGGGGGCCCCTCAAGCACTTAATAGGTGTCCATTTACGAAACCTGTATATCTTTCTTCAATCATGGCGGTCTATCGTTTGCCTATATTTATATATATATATATATATATATATATATATATATATATATATATATATATATATATACATACTACATATTAAGGGAGTTAACCGGCCGTGCTCGAGGTCTATGTCTGTCTCTTTCTCTGCCTCTCCCATCCATTCTCTCTGCTTCCCTCCCTCCCTCTCTCTCATACTCTCTGCCTCTCTCCCTTAGTTCCATCCTATTGTTTTCTCTCCCTTCAGTTTTCACTCTCCCCTCTTCTTTCAATTCTCTCTCCCAGTGTGCAAATGATGTACGAATAACATTCAATTAACGTTTTTAACGTTAAATCGACGTTGAATCCACGTTATCAAAATTGATACAACCTCGATAGAAACTTTCGGATTTGTTTTAACACTATGAACAATCAAATCGACATAGAATTAATCAAAAGGAGTCGTTGGAATTTGGAATAAGTGCCGGTCCTTCTTAAGGAGGGGCATAGGGGGAAAAGGGGGGGGGGGTAATTGACCCTAACCTCCCCTACGACACTTGCCATACAATCACTTGTCACCATGGATAGTTCCGTGAAGCTAGGCCCCCATATATATATATATATATATATATATATATATATATATATATATATATATATATATATATATATATATATATATATATATATATATATATATAATTAATTAATTATATTTGCTAGGTCATGACTTTTACACAGCCAACAGTTAAAAATGCAAGTTCTTTTTTCTGCTATACGTGAACATAACCGAGTAATCCAATTTGTATTCTCTCTCCCCCAGAAACTATGACAGCAGAGGCAATCTAGCTGAAAGGAAAGAAATCATCAACTTGGAAAATAAATTGTCAGAAAAGTCACGCTGTCCTAAGTGAATAAACTAATAAAACTTATATGACGAGGTTTTTTTTTTGTTCTTATATATATATATATATATATATATATATATCAAATGTCAAAAAATTTATGTATTCTGAAATGCTATTTAAAATAAGCCTCGCGTATTGAAAAATGTTTGCAATGAAGACAAACAAAATTGAAGCTAAATAATTCAAAATACAAAAAAATGTATTTATTTATTGTGTATTTGCAGTGAAAAATTAAAAAAAAAATAAAAATAAAAGAAGTGTGCTTAGAAACCTCTATTAAAAAAAATATTATTGATTCACTAAACATTTCATGACTATACTGGCGTGTGGTGAGAATATCGTCAAAATTCCATTCAAAAGTGTAAATAACCCAATAATTTAGATAACGTTAAACCTCAAGTATTTGAAACGTGGGGTTCCAGCCGAGATAGAATCACTATGGGCTCGTGGAGACGTCTTCGGCGAATTCTCTGTGCAAGCTTGCAAAGCTTACTCGCTATAGACGGTGAAGTCGCGCTCGGAATCTTTGCGAGAAGTGAACCACTTCGCAAGGTATAGTCGCGCTCGGAGTCTTCGCGAGAAGTAAACCCGCCATTAGGAAGACCGCAGGCGCCGATCTTCGGGACCTGTAGATCTTCACTTCGCGGACAGAGAGTAATTTAAATACTCAAAGAGTCCGAAGGAAAATTCGAGTCACAAGTCTCGAAATGTTGTTTAGAAACTGCCAGTAACTCGATGTTGTCGTAGGCGACGCCTACAAAATACAAATTGCAGTGAAAACAGCCTTTGGAGTGTCGTATCGAGTTCGAGATGGGCGTGAGGGCGGAGTAGTGGACAGATGGAGACGGTTTGTGGGCGGGGCGGAGGGATGAGGAGTGGGCGGGCTGTGGTGGGACTGGACGTTATCAGCCACACTCTCCCGCGTAATTTCCGCACGCCCGCCCACCCACCCTGCTGCCAGCCCGCCCCCCGCCCACAGTGTGCCGGCTGCCGCCCTGATCTCTGCGTGGGGGAGGACACCACCGCCGCCCCCCAGTGCCACCAGGCCTTTCCCACCTACCCCGCCCATTTCTATCCCACGGTGCTGAGGGGCGGGTGGGGCGGGGGTGAGGGCGGGCCGGATGACTGTGCAACGTGCAGGTTGCAGGAATCCCTTCCCTGCCCGTGTCGTGACCCCCGATGTCTGGGGGTCACTGCCTCCCCCCTCGCCTGCACTTGGGACAGCAAGAGCCTCTCCCGTGACGGGCGACCCCCTTCCCACGCCTCCTACCAGGACCTGCAGATGACCAGGACGGCGTCGATGTGTGCGGTAGGTGGCTCTTGCAGGCCCCTCCTCCCCAAGCCTCACCTACTTCAGGTGGCTCCTCTGTCTCTCTCTGTCTCCCTCTCTCTCTCTCTCTCTCTCTCTCTCTCTCTCTCTCTCTCTCTCTCTCTCTCTCTCTCTCTCTCTCTCTCTCTCTCTCTCTCTCAAGTTCCTCTTTTATCTCCCCATTTTGATGTTAAACACTGTTCTGTGGAACAGGAGACTCATCTACTGACTCTTCCCTTCTCCTTCATCTCTTTTTCAATTATTCGTTTCTGCCTCGTTGCTCTGTGTCAACACATTATCTCCCTTCCATGATCTCGTTACCATGTTGCAATTTTCAGCTAACAAACTTCCTTGCAAACCCTAATTGCATTTGGCAACTCTCTCATCCGTAATGTTTATATTTCATTGTAGAAAAATAACGATGTGTATTTATGTTTCTTAATGTATTCAACTACATAAAGTATATCCACAAAATTGGCTCCTAATTATATATGTATACTCGCAAAACTCGAAGTTTATTGAAGTGATCTTCTGTGATGCTGCTTCAGTCTGCTTCTCAAGTGAGGCGTCGCTCCATCTTGGAGACTCGAGAGAGCCTTCAGTCTTAGAAGTTACTGTCTGGAAACTTCTTGATGGAGACGATGAGTCACAATAACGTGGCTGAAGTATGTTGACCAGTTCACACACTAGAAGGTGAAGGGACGATGACGTTTCGGTCCGTCCTGGACCATTCTCAAGTCGATGGTCCAGGTCCAGGACCGAAATATCGTTGTCTCTTCACCTTCTAGTGTGTGGTCTGGTTAACACACTTCTTAATGGCTCCGACAGCTGTCTTAAGGCACAAACGGCACACCGATCCACTAAGAACACCGCCAACTATGCCTGACGACCTGGCTATGATTGCCGGCCTCCACTTCCTGTACCTATGGCCTCCTCGAATTCAGTGTAAACTTGCAGTATTCCTCCCCACAGCGCAAGGTTTACACTCTTGCCTTATGGGTAAATCTCACCTAACACACACAAACAGGCTCTCCGCAGAGCGAGAGGTTTTACCTATCCCCTGCACCTTATTGTGTGGGTAAGCAGTCGTAAGATAAGAGGCTAATATAAGGTAGCTGGAAATCACGCTTTGCAGCAACCTAATAATAATTCATCTTGCTGGTCAAAGTAGGCCCAAGATCCTCTACACAACCAGGAGTATAATTAAGGTTAAGCCCACGTCTTGGGGTCAGCTGGGAGAAGCTTCAGGAGAAAGACTCTTATTGTTCCACGAATGACAGCTTGAATGAATTATTTTCCCAGTTTACAACCAATTCGTCCTTTTGCCATGGTGTTGAAGTTTGTGTCTATTCAAGGTGGATGCGATTCGATCTTATAAGGTCTTTTTAGTTAGTAGCAGTGGCGTAGTGGTGGCACACTCTCCCACCGCCTCGCGACCGAGTCCATCTGGGTTCGAGCCGTGACCAGCGAGGCGCCAGTCCTAAACTGTTCGCCTCCTGATCATCCAGAAGTAATTGGGTGCCTGGTTGTCCAACTGATTGGCGGGGGCCGTGTTGCCGGGAACACTGTTGGCTTACGGTTAAGGCTTACCATGAGATACCAACCAGGTATCAGCCAGCTGGTTGATACCTGGTTGGTACCATGAGATACCAACCAGGTATTAACCAGCTATGGACTGGAAGGTGGCTCTCTCTCTCAGCCGGCAAAGAGGAGTTCCAAGTCGTCTGCCCCTATACCCTCCTGTGCAATCAATAATAAAAAGAAAACAAAAACAGCTGTTTACGGCTGACTGATAATGCCAGCGTTGCCAAATAAGAAGAGTGAGATAATAAGATGTGTGAGAATGATTATACACGAGGAAGAGGACTGATAGCATCCAAACAACGTACACACAAATATTATGATAAACATGATAACAGAAAGACGTCACTAACGTGTATACGAAGTTAAAAGTGGACACATGAATAAACAGAGGACAATAAATATATAGCAAAGGAAAGAGGGTGTGTGGGGGGGACAAACACGTATGATAATAAACAAGATTAAGATTGACAATGGCAAATACAGCAAAAGGGAAAAAAAACAGGAGATGAAGCGGAATATGGAAAGAGCAGAGATGTGAAGATGAAGCAGCAGCAGCAGCAGCATCAGTCGTGGCATCCCGACAGCTCTCTGGAGCCTTGACGAAGCACTCGAGACGCCTCAGGCTGCGGGGGGCGGGGGCAGCAGGAGGCAAACGTAGTGAAGTGGTAGGAAATAACTTGATGAAAGATAGACGTGTGTGCATTATGCAACAGCACGCGGGGGAATACCAAACTTGCAACTCTGCACGGGTCTGCTACATAAAAGCCTCAAGGCCACAGATGAATTCTAATTTGACTTTAAACCCCCCCCCCCCCACCTTCACTTCCCCCTCCCCCCCTCCTCCCACTTCTGCGAGGAAGCCTGTAAAATAAATTATTCACAGACGTGACTTCCCCCCCACAAGAGGTTTGGAGTTGTTTACACGAAAGAAAAACACACACACACGCGCGTTTTGTGTGTGTGTGTGTGTTTGCGTGTGTTTGCCTCACAGAAGAGGCTGGTTATCACTCTCCACATAGTGTGTGTTTTGACGGATTTGTCAACAAAAGAGTTCCTTGGTGCTCGCGGACGTCGTCTGACTGCGTCGCTTGATGATAAGATGTTCGTGCCTCTTCACCATCAAGAGGACGCATATTCATCAACATCGCGAGGACACGCATTTCAGAATATCAAGGACGAGATGCGTCGCTGTGGACGCACTGCAGGGTACAAGGTGGCTGTGAACGCCTTGTGTATACACTGGGACGCAGTGAACGTACCACGTACACACAGGGACCCAGTGAACGTACCACGTACACACAGGGACCTAGTGAACGTACCACGTACACACAGGGACGCAGTGAACGTACCACGTACACACAGGAACCCAGTGAACGCACCGTGTACACACAGGGACCCAGTGAACGCACCGTGTACAAGGGACGCCTCCTCCCGCCCCTCTCCACACTTCCCTAACTCGAGTAATTAGGCCTTGCCGGGTTTCTCCCTTAAGGACAAGTTGGTGCAGCTTTCCCGAAGGAGTCCACGCGCAGGCGGCCTCTACTGATCGCTCCAACACTCGATCGACTCCCCCCAACCATCCATCCCCCCCTTACTGCCTTGACTGTTGCACTGTATCGATCCCCCACATCCACACCCATATCTCTCGACGTGTCTTCTATACTCGATCGATTCCCCAACCCTATTCCCACCCTGTCTGATACCCGTGTCGAGTCACTGAATGCTGTCTTGAACACATGTAAAGTAATATATATGTTTACTCAGGGGCATACATTGATGGGTGTTATTTTTCCCTCCCTTCGCAGTTGCCGAAGTTGATGAGCGTGGAGGAGCGGTTGACCACGGCGTTGGGGCATCCTCTGGCTCCGCCACACAAACACACAAACAACACTCACGCAAACACGCACGCAAACACGCACGCAAACACCCAAGCAAATACGCACAGTACGCCACAAGCCTACAGTCGGGCTAAGACCCAGGCGCACGTCCATACCGCCAGTCAGACCCACAAACACAATCACAATACCACCACTAACACCGCTGGTGATGACGGTAGCAGCGCCCACGCCCACGCCCACGCTCACGGCCAGGGCCTGGGGGCGAGCAGAGGGTCGAGGTTGAGCAGGAGCGTGGAGAGTCTACCTCGGGACATCAAGGAACACATCCTCAAGTGCCAGTGTTCCTGTGACCACCTCGGCTATGGCAACTTTTCCGTGAGTAACTGTGTGTGTGTGTGTGTGTGTGTGTGTGTGTGTGTGTGTGTGTGTGTGTGTGTGTGTGTGTGTGTGTGTGTGTGTGTGTGTGTGTGTGTGTGTGTATGTGTGTATGCGTGTGTTCTCTGTTATACGTCACGGTGTGGGGCGTTCTTGCATGTCTACGTCTCGTTATACGTCAGAGTATCAGTCTTCTGGTACATTTCCCTGTGTCGTTTCTGAACCTCCCGGTACATCTATACGTCTCTTGGCATAATCTGTACGTCAAACGTCACGTTATGAGTATTTCAGCGTCTCGTTATGTGTTGATTGACGGACCTGCGTCACGTCTGTCTCTTTCGTTCTGCCTCAGTGACGGGTGTGGGGGGGTTAAGAGTTCCGTCCGTATTCTATTGTGTGACAGTCTTCCTGTCGTGCGATAATGCACTGCATAGCGTGCCGTCAAGCTTAAGCTGCTATACTGACAGGAGGAAATGCTTATACCTCCCTCCTGTCAACACAGCTACACAATCGCTGTCTAAAAACTTCAGCTTTTCCAATGCCAGAAGAAAACGATTCCGCGAAGCTCAAGGAATTCTCAGGGTCGATAGAGCTCCTTGATATTGCAAAAAAAGCTGATACCATTGCAAATGGCCTTTGCCAAGACGGTCCACAGCCAGATGTCGTCTTCATTCTGTATTAATCCCTCAGGAGGGTGGACAGGAGGATAATTAGCAACTTGGCGAGAGTTGTGTTAACTGTCTCGAGTCGGTGATTTGGGCGACTTCAAGCAGGCAACCCGTCTTGAAGATAGTTGTATGTGTGTGTTTTTATTTTTTAATGCGGGGAAGATTGTCGGTTGGCTTATTGAATGTTGCCTGAGCAGCGAGCGGTGTGAGGATCTCAGGTTCCTCACACCTCATGTCGCTCATATCTCATGTCCCTCACACCTCATGTCCCTCATATCTCATGTCCCTCACACCTCATATCCCTCACACCTCACGTCTCTCACGCTCTATACCCATCACAGCTCATTCCATTTACTCACCAAATCTCATGCCTTATCTCCTCACATCTTAATAAGCCATTCTCATCAGCATCTTACTTCCGCCGCCGGCATCGTCTTGAGAGTTACGACCGAAGCGCTTCGGCTTGCTTACACTGAACGCTGTGAGGCCATCCCGTTCTCCCGACTTGCCACAACGGGCAAAATACGACGTGCTAACCTAACCAGCAGCGTAGATAATCTACTCAAGTGGTCGTAGATTACACTGAAGGAGCTTTGACCTTCCTGCATGCCAATTCCAGGAGCTGGAGCTCGATTCCGTGGACACAAATTCGCGAATAGACATTATACACTGGCGCGCAGGTATTCTAGGGAGCATTATAAAGCTTGCAGCAGGTTTACTGGCTTTCAAAACCAAAATCCCATGTGATTTGCTCATTAGAATTTTAAAGTTGAATTTTGGTCCTTCACTGAATTGTTTTGGGGGGTTTGTTAGGGGAGAGAGGAGAGAGAGAGAGAGAGAGAGAGAGAGAGAGAGAGAGAGAGAGAGAGAGAGAGAGAGAGAGAGAGAGAGAGAGAGAGAGAGAGAGAGAGAGACAGAGAGTTGGGGTGTAATTATATGGAGAGGTTATCTTGAGGTTATCTTGAGATGATTTCAGGGCTTAGCGTCCCCGCGGCCCGGTCCTCGACCAGGCCTCCTTTTTGTTACACACCCATCAGGAAGCAGCCCGTAGCAGCTGTCTAACTCTCAGGTACCTATTTACTACTAGGTGAACAGGCGCATCAGGGAAACTCTGCCCATTTATTTCCGCCTCTACCGGGGATCGAACCCGGAACCTTAGGACTACAAATACCGAGCGCTGTCCACTCAGCTCTCAGACCCCATCTCTCTCGATTACTTTACATCTAAGATTATGGCCGGATACCTTGCCCCCAAGGCTGGGGAGCCGGATACCTTGCCTCCAAGGCTGGTGGCCGGATACCTTCCTGTAAGGCTGGTGGCCGGATACCTTGCCCCCAAGGCTGGGGGCCGGATACCTTGCCCCCAAGGCTGGGGGCCGGATACCTTGCCCCCAAAGCTGGTGGCCGGATACCTTGCCCCCAAGACTAGTGGCCGGATACCTTGCCCCCAAGGCTGGTGGCCGGATACCTTGCCCCCAAGACTAGTGGCCGGATACCTTGCCCCCAAGGCTGGGGGCCGGATACCTTGCCCCCAAGGCTGGTGGCCGGATACCTTGCCCCCCCAGGTCAGGGGTGGAGATGGGGAAGAGTTGTAAGTCAGGGAGAGGATTTATGTGTCACGGACCTTATGCAAAAATATATATGTTTTGAAGCATAGCAAAGATAGAAAAATATGACGAGTGTTTTAAAGATAAAAAATATATATTTAAAAATGGTTCTGCTTCGTTCAATATTTCAAAAGTCTCACCTCTTTCCAGATTTGAAGCTACTTATTAAGATGCAACCAATTCATTATATATATATATATATATATATATATATATATATATATATATATATATATATATATATATATATATATATATATACAGAAAAAGAAGAGTTCCATCCTCTCTAAGATTCACCCAAGCACCTGGACTGGACGGTAGAGCAACGGTCTCGCTTCATGCAGGTCGGCGTTCAATCCCCGACCGTCCACAAGTGGTTGGGCACCATTCCCCCCCCCCCCCCCCCCCCCGTCCCATCCCCCTTCCATCGTTTCCAGTTCCAGAGTGAAGGGCTGGACTTGCCGCAGCCTGATCATGGCGACGAGACGGAGGTGGGGAAAAAAGGCCACTTTTATTCCAGTCAGGTAATTGGTGTTGGACTTTTTCTTTAATGAATTACGTCCTAGGCCACATAAGCCAAGAACGACAGCAGCTGCCGACGTTGTCCGCCAGTTTGGAGTGTAAACGTAATCTCCCAGATTGTGAGAGAGAGAGAGAGAGAGAGAGAGAGAGAGAGAGAGAGAGAGAGAGAGAGAGAGAGAGAGAGAGAGAGAGAGAGACAGAGAGACAGACAGACAGACAGAGAGAGAGAGAGAGACAGAGAGAGAGAGACAGACAGACAAACAGACAGAGAGAGAGAGAAGAGGGCTCCGGAGGACGACAACTGTGATAACCATCTGCAGCTGGGAGGGAAAAAAACAAAAGAACACGCAGAAGAAAAACTGAAGTTCAACAAATACGTGAAGACAAGGAATTAGATTGGTTTCAAGATCTTGAAGACGCAGCTGTTTTTTAAATCCAGGCCTTCTGACAAGTCTCAGAGCCTGGCGCTTGCTGGGACCGAGCTTCAGTTCATGGGCCCCACCACTAGTCCTCTAATCGACTAGTGAGCTGGTTCCGGATCATTTAAGGAACATATGAAGCGGACTCTGTTTTGACAAGTGAAGGTATTGGCAAGTAACTTCCACTTACCAACACCTTCTTCGTTATTCTGCACTTGCTGGAGTTGAACTCTAACAGCCATTTGTTAGACAATCCATGCAGTCTAGTGAGACCTTCCTGCTTAGTTCCACTTTTCCAATATTTTTGTCGTTATCGCAATTGCCATGTCAACAGCAGCCATTGATAGGCATTAGTCGTCTTGCCAGGGAGATAATTCTTGCATAGCAGCTTCAATGAGACGGGTCTTAGACTTGACCTCTATAACTCCTTTGGAACCTTTGTGGAATCGTCACAACTCTGCTCCCAGGCTGGCTCTTTGGGCCGCGGGGTCGCTGAGCCCCGGAATCACCTCAAGGTAACCTCAAGGTAACCTCAGGGTAACCTCAGGGTAAGGTTGTCCTCTGTTGCTGAAGTACTTATTATGCACTGTTGTCAGCCCGTCCCCTTAAGGGTTTCCCAACGTCAAGAAAACGCTTCGTTTAAAGTGTTCTCACTCTACTTATTAGAGAACCCAAAACAGAAAACGGGATAGTACGTCACTTTCGCGAGCCGCTTCCATTTTCTGGAACGACAGTTTTAAGCCTTAGGTAACGCACATAAGAGAAAAGCGACGTTCATTGTAGGAGGACAGGCTGTAGGAGAACAGGCTGTAGAAGGACAGGTTGTAGGAGGACAGGTTGTAGGAGGACAGGTTGTAGGAGGACAGGTTGTAGAAGGACAGGTTGTAGGTGGACAGGTTGTAGGAGGACAGGTTGTAGAAGGACAGGTTGTAGAAGGACAGGTTGTATTAGGACAGGTTGTAGAAGGACAGGTTGTAGGAGGACAGGTTGTAGGAGGACAGGTTGTAGGAGGACAGGTTGTAGGAGGACAGGTTGTAGGAGGACAGGTTGTAGGAGGACAGGTTGTAGGAGAACAGGCTGTAGGAAGACAGGTTGTAGAAGGACAGGTTGTAGAAGGACAGGTTGTAGGAGGACAGGTTGTAGGAGGACAGGTTCAAGGAGGACAGGTTGTAGAAGGACAGGTTGTAGAAGGACAGGTTCAAGGAGGATAGGTTGTAGGAGGACAGGTTGTAGGAGGACAGGTTGTAGGAAGACAGGTTGTAGAAGGACAGGTTGTAGAAGGACAGGTTGTAGGAGGACAGGTTGTAGGAGGACAGGTTGTAGGAGGACAGGTTGTAGAAGGACAGGTTGTAGGAGGACAGGTTGTAGAAGGACAGGTTGTAGGAGGACAGGTTGTAGGACGACAGGTTGCCCTAGAACCTTTACTGTCACTGCAGCTTGTTCCCCCAATTCATAAGGGGGGCACTATATCAAAGACCTTTCGGAAGTCATACAATATGCAGTCTACCCAATCTTCTCTGAACTCTGCCACCTGTCCGTTTAATTTGAACTGCTAGACACCAAACCAAGTCCCTAAAATTGTTGATGGAGTGTTGATAAGAAGACGATTCTTGTTATGAAGACAATTGTTATGAACAAAAAAATATGCTATACCCTTCATTTTTCCTCACGACTCCATAACTTTGCAAAATATGTTTGCAAGACATACTGAGCTTTAGTTAAGTGCCCCCTCATCCTGTCGTCCGGTCTGAATGGAAGCACTACATTTGCCGTTTTCTAACCTTTTGGCCGTTCCCTATTCAGCGAGGCTTCTTATAAGTCTTCGCGAGTTAAAAACATTTAGATCTTAGAATTGATTATACATTTTTTGATCACACTATCATGTATACCTTGATATAGTCTTATTCCGGGGAGACAGAGAGAGAGAGAGAGAGAGAGAGAGAGAGAGAGAGAGAGAGAGAGAGAGAGAGAGAGAGAGAGAGAGAGAGAGAGAGAGAGAGAGAGAGAGAGAGATAGACGGAGAGAAGTTGAAAACATAACTTATTTTACAACTGTCGTTATTCCTTTACCAACATGATGTTGGGTTAATACTCTGCGGTGCTCGCCATATTTTGTGTCGTAACTCCCTCTCAAATGTTTATTTGTGAAGGGACACGTCACTGTGTGAGGGGACACGTCACTGTGTGAGGGGACACGTCACTGTGTGAGGGGACACGTCACTGTGTGAGGGGACACGTCACTGTGTGAGGGGACACGTCACTGTGTGAGGGGACACTTCACTGTGTGAGGGGACACGTCACTGTGAGGGGACACGTCACTGTGTGAGGGGACACGTCACTGTGTGAGGGGACACGTCACTGTGTGAGGGACACTTAACTGTGTGAGGGGACACGTCACTGTGAGGGGACACGTCACTGTGTGAGGGGACACGTCACTGTGTGAGGGGACACGTCACTGTGTGAGGGACACGTCACTGTGTGAGGGGACACGTAACTGTGTGAGGGGACACGTCACTCTCTGAGGGACACGTCACTCTCTGAGGAACACGTCACTCTCTGAGGGACACGTCACTCTCTGAGGAACACGTCACTCTCTGAGGAACACGTCACTCTCTGAGGACACGTCACTCTCTGAGGAACACGTCACTCTCTGAGGGACACGTCACTCTCTGAGGAACACGTCACTGTGTGAGGGACACGTCACTGTATGAGGGACACGTCACTCTCTGAGGAACACGTCACCTTCTAAATAACACGTCACTATCTGACAGAACTACGAACAGGTAATATTTGTTCACCAAATCTTATCTCTGCCGGTAAATACGAAAATCCAAAAATGTAAAAAAAAAAAAAAATCTTGCAGCCAAAAAATATATTAGTTTCTCTTCCCAGTCGAAGTGTTTGTGCAAGTCTCATTTTTAATAGCATTAAATTTCACCTTTTGGATGCAAGGAAATTACAGAATATGTATATATATATAGCCATGTGTGTGTTAGAGGAAGGGGGGAAGGGGGGGGGGACAGGCTTGAGACGGTGTTAATAAGATGCTTTTCATCACCTGAGATGACACACACATTGTGTCGACAGACGAAGATGAAGATGCTGCTCAACGGATGCTGGAGAAATGTCAATCTTGTTGGAATTTAGTTGAAGAGACATTTTTTTTTTAAAGAAGAACGTTCATCTATACAGACTCGGGTTATATACTTTTTTTGCGTTGACCTCTGCTTATTCAAGACCTAAACTGATATCTTCCTTCCAGCATCCATCTATACTGAGCCCTTGAGGTGCCCCAGAGACACTTCAAGATGTATCACATTTACTCTAAATATTTATATACTACTGACGGGGCTATTCATGCCCATGCCACTTCTTGTGGTGGTTTAATCTTCATCAATCAATCTACACTGCTATCCTACCAGCATTCACCTACACTGACACACCTTAATTGTTTTCGTAACCGCTTGTTCATATTGATCGTCCTGCCGCCACCCACTGGTACTTCCAGACCTGCCACCAACACTGCCGCCACCCACTGGTACTTCCAGACCTGCCACCAACACTGCCGCCACCCACTGGTACTTCCAGACCTGCCCACACACTGCCGCCACCCACTGGTACTTCCAGACCTGCCACTAACACTGCCGCCACCCACTGGTACTTCCAGACCTGCCACCAACACTGCCGCCACCCACTGGTACTTCCAGACCTGCCACCAACACTGCCGCCACCCACTGGTACTTCCAGCCCTGCCACCAACACTGCCGCCACCCACTGGTACTTCCAGCCCTGCCACCAACACTGCCGCCACCCACTGGTACTTCCAGACCTGCCACCAACACTGCCGCCACCCACTGGTACTTCCAGCCCTGCCACCCACTGCCGCCACCCACTGGTACTTCCAGCCCTGCCACCAACACTGCCGCCACCCACTGGTACTTCCAGCCCTGCCACCAACACTGCCACCTATCAATAGTGCCATCTACTGTCCATCAAGACCTCCAGTGCCGAAACTTTACCATTTATTTAGTACCGAAACTCCACTCTACAAGCCACCATTCCCACGCTCCCTTACCCCTAACACAACTCATCCCCACAACCCCCCCACACCCACAAACCCCCACACCCACAACCCCCCCACACACAACCCCCCCCCCCCCCCCCCCCCACAACCCCCCCCCCACACCCACAACCCCCCACCCACAACCCCACTAACCCTGAACCTGCAGCATTAGGCCCAGTCTTCCGCCCATCTGCACGGCCCACAGTAAGCCAAATTGGTCTATAAAGTGGTTCTTGGCGCCCATTTGGTGGAACATTACCACTAAGTGCTACCACACACACACGCGCGCCGCTAAAATACCAGCTTGGGACTTCACGGGACAAAGTACCATTCATGACGAGCCAATAAGCTCTTTCAGAAATGATTTATGAGAGCCAGAACCATATATATATAAACATGACATGATATGACACGATATGAAGTTACCCAGCGACTAACATGTTAAATATCACGTTAAATATGATTGAATTCATCATATTAAATACGAACACGTATTAAATCGTTCGATGAGAGCTTATAGTTTACTGTGTCTTGCATAAATTTAAAGTTTCATGTTGCATCTTCAATTGAGATCATTTCTTCTTGCATAAATTGTTGCATAGCCAGACAGACAGACTTAAGTTTTCAGCGGCAATACAAATGATTTTATGAGAATAATTCCGCATCAAACCTTACAAGAGAGGAAAACAAATCCTAAAAAAATTTCACGGTTTATATAATTTTTTGTGTGTGTTTTCCTACTTGGAGAACACATGTCTTGGGAGATAGAAGAACTTTGTTGGTAGTTGGAGACGCTCGGGTTATATAAGATCTTTCTTTAAGCCTTTGGAAATAGAAGTTAGAAAAAAGTCAGGCACAGCGTCACTGGTACATCACCACACCACTGGTACATCACCACACCACTGGCACATCACCACATCACTGGCACATCACCACATCACTGGCACATCACCACATCACTGGCACATCACCACATTACTGGCACATCACCACATCACTGGCACATCACCACATCACTGGCACATCACCACATCACTGGCACATCACCACATCACTGGCACATCACCACATCACTGGCACATCACCACATCGTTGGCACATCGCTGCATTCTGGCAATGAAGTTTGATGCATGGGCAGCCATATTTTTCTTCGGTAAATTGATGGAAGAGTGATGGTACCGTCCCAAGAGTAATGGTACCACTCATCACAGCGATGAGTAGCGAGACACCCGGAGTTTAATGAGTGATACCCACAAATATGAGTGAAAGAATGAATTAGTGAATTAATGAATGTGTGTGTGTGTGTGTGTGTGTGTGTGTGTGTGTGTGTGTGTGTGTGTGTGTGTGTGTGTGTGTGTGTGTGTGTGTGTGTGTGTGTTAACACAATACTAGTTAAGATAAAAAAAAATAACTTTGCAACAAGGCTAGTTTCTAAGCTATCGAGGCTTGAGCGATCATGAACGAATGCGGTAAGTCGACCTCACTACACTGGAGGAAAGAAGGAATAGGATACACATGCTAACGGCGTATAATATCATAAATGGAAATTGACCAATTAAATAGAGAATCAACGAAGGGGACATAATAGGGAAAATGAAAACACAGACGAAACTTCAGAAGAATTTATTTTTCAAAGTCGTGTGTGAATGCAAACGGCTAGATAAGGATGCTTACGAAAACTCCTCTTTTTCACATGAATAATGTGAACAACTAGTGAAAAAAAGAGTATTTTCATTCAACTGTAGGTTGAAAGGCGGGACTAAAGAGAGATGCTCGAGCCTATCAATACACACACACGCACACACACACACACACACACACACACACACACACACACACACACACACACAACACACAGACGTTAGAAGGAACTTTTAAGTTAGTTAGAAGTTAGTTAGACGTTAGAAGGAACTTTTTTAGTGTCAGAGTAGTTAACGGATGGAATGCATTAGGCAGTGATGTGGTGGAGGCTGACTCCATACACAGTTTTTTAAATGTAATATGATAGAGCCCAGTAGGCTCAGGAATCTGTACACCAGTTGATTGACAGTTGAGAGGCGGGACCAAAGAGCCAAAGCTCAACCCCCGCAAGCACAAATAGGTGAGTACAAATAGGTGAGTACACACACACACACATACACACACACACACACACACACACACACACCCACACACACACACACACACACACGCACACACACACCACACACACACACACACACACACACACACACACACACACACACACACACTCACACACTGTGAGCCACAGAGATATTAGAAAGAACTTTTTTAGTGTCAGAGTGGTTGACAAATGGAATGCATTAGGAAGTAATGTGGTGGAGGCTGACTCCATACACAGTTTCAAGTGTAGATATGATAAAGCCCAATAGGCTCAGGAACCTGTACACCTGTTGATTGACGGTTGAGAGGCGGGACCAAAGAGCCAAAGCTCAACCCCCGCAAGCACAACTAGATGAGTACAACTAGGTGAGTACACACACAGACACACATTCACGCCGGCGTAAATCAAGAACCGTCATTATTTAACTATGCCATAACTTACAGTAAATACTGCCATTATGTGAAATATAGTGGACACTGAAACAGAAAGATACATTCAATACAGCCACAGTCCTCATCAATTGCTGGCACTTACAGCAACCATTCCGTCAACATTGCCAAAATGTTGCGACGGACCGCCCAAAAGTTACACTTTTCATATTCTTAATTGCATAGAGTCCGGATGGGAAGGGAACTATCAGGGGGAAAGCGCCAAGTCATTATCCCTATATGTATAGAATCCGGAGAAAAACTGAAAATCAAGGCCTAATATATCAAATATATGTATTATATTAGGCCTAGGAGAGCGTGTATTAAGGCTAGGATTGCTAGGAGAGGTTATATAGGTTCTATATTTATTGAGAACATTGCATACAGCACTTTGAGAAATTATGTAGATTACATAAAAATAATTTGGTTTTAAATATACTTACACATAAATCGTGTCTTTCATTCCTTTAAGCACTACGTCATTGTAGTAAGTTTCCCCACTATAATTACCATAATACTATATTACTACAAAATAATATTGCACTATATGTCTATATATCCATTATAATAATATATAATATCCAACCAATTGTCTAGCCAACTGCCCAACCAGTCCCGTTTCCCCCCCCCCCGGTCAAATCTTCGGCGATCCTGCCTCTTTTCGGCCCTTCACTTGTACATTTTTCCCCTCTTGTTCTGACATCCCCAAAAATAATATTAACCTGCATCTTCTCCAACACAATACTGCAATAGCCGTGTGGAAATTTCACGCAATTTCTATTAAGTGTTATGCTTTTGCCAAACCTTTCTGGCGATTTTACGGTGTATGTCGCTACTCGGTGTAACGTGTTCTCACAGATCTGTGGTTATATATTTCCGGATATACCTATCCTCATCCTTTCTGATACACCTATCCACCCCATCCATCCCAGGCGGGTAGATGGGAATAACAGGCAATCTAGCAGGAATATGGGTTAACATAGAGATTCAGAGGGGGGAAAAAAACATCTATCCTTCAATTGGGTTGGCTTCAGCACTCCTGTTCGACGTCTATTCATTCAGACAGATACGTTCAGCAATTACCGATAGACAGAATTTTACGTAGACGGGCAGACGCAGAGCACAAGGAGTCTTGCAGCTTATGGGATCCTGTCTATAAGGAAACCTGTACATGCGGAGACAGGGTATGGACAGGGAGGGTGTGGAGGACAGGGGATGGCAGCAGTGAGGGTATGGAGGACAGGGGGATGGCAGCAGTGTGGGTATGGAGGACAGGGGGTGGCAGCAGTGTGGGTATGGAGGCCAGGGGGATGGCAGCAGTGTGGGTATGGAGGACAGGGGGTGGCAGCAGTGTGGGTATGGAGGCCAGGGGGATGGCAGCAGTGTGGGTATGGAGGACAGGGGGGTGGCAGCAGTGTGGGTATGGAGGCCAGGGGGATGGCAGCAGTGTGGGTATGGAGGACAGGGGGTGGCAGCAGCGTGGGGCGGCCGACCATGATATCAACTTTGGACTGTAAATCACAGTTCACAGGTCCGAACACCCACACAACAGTTTCCTGAGAGGCTGATGATGATGCTGCTGGTGATGATGGTGATGGTGATGATGGTGGTGATGCTGGTGATGGTGCTGGTGATGCTAGTGGCAGTGACGGTGATGTGTTATCACTGCCGCAAGGCTTAAAGGGCAGTTCTTCCACCAACTTCTGCATGTTACTAAGGGGCCCTTTTTCAGATTTTGTCATTAGAAAAAAAAGACCCTTTTGCCATTCCTCAAAAGAGCCTTTAGCCCTCGAATATCCCCCCTGGGGGTGTCTTAGGACTGCAGCAGTTCATCGTAGAGGGCAGCGGCACACGTCACCATTTAAAGCTTAATTATTAATCGTCTTGCAGTTAGCTCCAGCCCTGTGCCTGAGAGGGTGTAGGTCTCTTGTGGAGAGAGAAAGAAAGAGAGAGAGAGAGAGAGAGAGAGAGAGAGAGAGAGAGAGAGAGAGAGAGAGAGAGAGAGAGAGAGAGAGAGAGAGAGAGAGAGAGAGAGACAGACAGACATTAGTGGGTCAATGCTTACCATGAGTTACGGTAAGGGAGAGAGTTCTCAGCCTACTAACAGGAGACAAAAATCGTCTTCTGTACTCATCTGAGTAAAAATGTTAGAAAAATGAATAAAAAAGGATGTTCAAAGTATATATATATTATTCAATCCTTCCCACGAGGCTTATTATATAACAGTGAATGTACGAAATTATTTATGCAAATGTTGCTGTTGTTGTTGTTGCTCTGTCGCTGTGTTGCTGACCTGGACTCAGGCAGGGGGGGGGGGGTCAAAGGTCACCATGGGGGGGGGAGTTGTGAGTTAACTTTAATGGTCTCATCCCTCGCCGTGTGCTTGTTGAAATGATCAACACACGCAACACCTGACCGCTACGGTTGTGTGCACGCGCGTCCACGCACACATTCTCTCTATATAATAGAGAATGATTGGCTGTTTGTCATTACGGGCTCGCCATAGCCCGTGCTAGCTGGAACTTTTCGTTCCCAGTAGCTGAATCTATAACAACAACAACAATAACAGCTGTTTGTCTGTGCCAAGATGGAGGGCAGAGGCTTGTGTGGGGGGGGGGTGGGGGTTTGCCCCACTCATATTTGCAGGGGGAAGGGTCTGGGGGACAGGACGGACATAGGCTGGTCGTGGCTGCTTTAAGGTAAATTTGAATTTGAAACATTTGAAATTATTAGCCCCCACCTTAGTCCATCTTCGAGGCGTGTTTCATAGTCAAGTGTGAACTATGGCGAGCGATTAACGTGTTCCACTGACATGGAACAAAGGGAAGGGAAGAGACATGAAAAGGAAGCATTGGGGACTATAGATATTATTTTTATTATTATTATTTGTGGCAAAGCAAGAAAGAATAATAATAATAATAATATTTATACACAGATAATAATCAAACTAACATGATGAATCAATGAGAAGATCCGTAGGAGCCGTGGCGAGGGTTCGAAGCTATGCGGTGGGTGGTGAGTTACTAATATTAATAATAATAATGATAATATGGTTTCAGAAAAGTATATATATACACACACTCTGGTTTATCTGTAGTCACAGAAGGGGGTATATCACATCAGGGCCAC